CTGGCTTGGAGATAAGCCGGAAAAAAGCGGAAGCCATGTTAATGCAAATACCGTGGGGGATATTTAAATCCCCCGCGGATTTGCCTATTCCAACGTGCTACATTAGCATCCCTTTTCCGGAAGGGATGCCAGTGTAGACGTAGCCTTTGATTTACTGCTTGTTAGTTAATCATTTTCAGCCATAAAATGAACTGCAAAACTTAGCACTTAGGAATGGGCAGGCTTTCCCACCCATATTGCGGAAAGCCTAAGACTTTGTGTTTGGCATCGACTGCAACACATTTATGTCAAATTGTGATTCTGATGACACCTTCCTGAAGAAGGGATGCCAGTGTAGACGTAGCCTTTGATTTACTGCTTGTTAGTTAATCATTTTCAGCCATAAAATGAACTGCAAAACTTAGCACTTAGGAATGGGCAGGCTTTCCCACCCATATTGCGGAAAGCCTAAGACTTTGTGTTTGGCATCGACTGCAACACATTTATGTCAAATTGTGATTCTGATGACACCTTCCTGAAGTGCTTATCTGAAGAGCAGCAGTCTGACTAGTACAAAACTTGCAGATGGTGTCAGCGTTGACCATCAGTTACCTGTAGAACTTATTGTAGGTAGCTCGGCTAGAGTCAAAGGTGAGATGGTTCTAACCAGTGATGAGTTGCTCCAAGGCCTCCTTAGATGCATAAATAAGTTGTGAGAAAATTAAGCCCAAGGACATAATGTGTAGGAATTGAACAGCAGTGGTGTCTCCTGTTAGAATCTGCCTGTGGATGTTTATACCCCTAAGTAAGGAATAATTGTAAAATGGCCTAAAGGCACTGCCTTGACAGACAATCCCACCTGTGGATTAGGCCATGTGGATGCCCAGGAATTCCCCATGCTGGAGTAGTACCCACTACCAACCCTCGAGAGTACGGACAGAGGGCCCGGGACTGCTGGTAGCAGAAGGGGCGTAAGCGCTGGAATTTTGCTTCCCTGCTTGTTTGCTTGTTTGCTTAATTGCCTTCTTCTCCGCAGTGAGAGGCACATATTTAATAAAGCGTGAGGGCCACAAGGCGCAACATCCTCTGGCAATAAAACCTTTTATATTTATGCATCTAGTATGGATTCATTGAGTGTGTCTGAGCCTCCAGTTATAATAAGAAGCATGAATTCAGACTTAAACAGCTCTTAATGGAAGCCAATCTTAGACCTTCAATTACGGTTCATCAGGCACCGGGTGCAAACTCAAATCACAGCACTTCTATTTTGGTATGGGAAATGGCGCTGGGATAATTCTCTTGTGCAAAAGACTCTAAGTATTGAACCAGTATGGCACTGGCAGGCACACTGGCTCCTCAACATCACTCCACATCGCCGGTACCATAGAAACACCAAGAAGGACATTCCAATCTAAGCTCCGGATGTACTGCCATATTTCTTGAATTCTACTTCTGCTGTACTTGGCACTGCATTACCTCAGAACAATGGCTACTCTGCATGGTAGGAATGGGATACTCTCTTCAGTTCTCTTCTCTTCTCTTCTCAGAAAGGAGATGCAATTGGTCCTCATATTATGGTCAGTGAGGAGGTCCCTCAGAATTAAATAGACAAGGAGTTCTACCCCTGCTGTTTCATTTTTCCCAAACTCAAAGGGCATTGATGGCCCACAGTCCATCTGCAGGGCATCAACTAATACATGAGGACTTTGAAATTCCTCATGTATGCCTAGTGACCATCATTCTCTCATTGGATCCATGCAACTGGTATACCACCCTCAACATGAAAGACACATGCATTTATATCACCTTTCTACCACTGGAAACTTTTAATCTCCTCTTCCAGATGACTCTCTCTTAGGGCATGTCTTAGGGAGACTAATGTAGTCATTTGAACTTGCAAATGAAGCAAGGGATTAAAATACCCTGGGTTTTATTTGCATGTTCCTGGGTGCCGCCATTTTTAAATGCCCGGTAGTTCGGACTCCCTGGCCATTGCAGGAGAAGTAACAGTAGTCTGAATTAGGGGCCTTAGTTCGAACTACCTAGCCCGTGACGCGTGTAGCCATGGGCAAGAAGTCCGAACTACCCAGCATTTAAAAATGGTGGCACCCGGGAACATGCAAATAAAACCCAGGGTATTTTAATCCCTTGCTTCATTTGCAAGTTCGAATGACTACATTAGCCACCCTAGTTCGAACTAGGGTGGCTACTGTAGATATACCCTTACATAGTCTACTAAGCTACAGTCATATTGACCCCCAAGCGCTAGATATTTAGGCATTTCTCTCCCTCAAAATAAGAGAATTTTTCTCACTAGCATGCTCTTATTATTCATTGGGATGTCATTATGCACTTTTGATGTTCCTGAGATCCCAAACCTGGGAATACTGGAGGGACGGGTTTGGACGATTGGGGGATAACGCATTTTGAAACTGCTCCTGACCCCATAGATTGCACGCACATGGCAATACAGCTCAGCCCTTAGCCTATAGTCCCAATGGTTAATCACCTTTCTGCCTGACCCTTTACCCACGAAAGTTTCTGTCACTCTCACTGATTATCTGTTTTATTTCAGAAAGCCTACCGATGCCTATACAAATTCTTTCTCCTTTTTCTCTTTTGTTTAGTCTGGTGAACACCCACTTCTTTTACTGACTTGTAATGCACAGATAAAAATACAGCTCAGCCCTTAGCCCATAGTACCAATGATTGATCACCTTTCTGCCTGACCCTTTACTCATGAAAGTTTCTGTCACTCTCACTGAATATTTGTTTTATTTCAGAAAACCTGCCAATGAGTATACAAAGTCTTTCTCTTTTTTCTTGTTTGTATAGTCTGGTGAACACCCACTTCTTTTACTGACTTGTTGTCATGCTTAATATAACATTCTACTATCTAGGAAGATGTCCATAGAATTAACCAGCACAATGTATAGCAATTAAAGTCTCTTTGCCTTTCACTGCCCATGGATAATGTTTAAGTTACTCAAGAAAGGGAGAATCTCATTCAGTATGTTGTAAGTCAAGGAACAAACACTGAGCTGTTTTTTTTTTATTCCCCATTTTTCATTTGCAGAGCAACTCCAGAGAGAAAACGGTGAGTTGGCCTAAATTCCTGCATAGTGACAGATTAAATGTCAGACCTGTTCCTCTCCTCCAACGGTTTCCAAAAAAATGGGAAATCACATGTTGTGCAGAGCTTCTAGAGGGACCTTTGTAGCCATTGCCATGCAAGGGTAGTGGTGATACACATACTGGAATGTTTTCTAGAGCAGGGAAACAGCACTAAATTCTTCTGTCTTCTGTCCCAATGGACACATTTCTAGATCAACACCATACATAAGATTTGGCTTGGGATTGTGTATATTTTTTTAAAAAGGGATGCAAGAAAATAGTTCCATTAGTCATGTCAGAGCAGAATAGGTGTTATAGTAAATAAAGTGCTTATTTTGATAAATGTCCTTTTGTTTTTTCTAGTAGCCCTGTTCAAGCGGGAGAAGGATCATTTTATCAATGGGGGAAGCTGGGGAGGGAGGATTTCTTTAACTGCTTGCAGGTCAGGACATTTCTGCTTTTGCAGACACAGGGAAGTGAGCTTTGTAATTGGGATTCAGGAGACTCTGGATAGTTTTCAGTAGCAGACTATCTTTCTCTGCATGATCCAGATGGGGATGTGATACTGGGACAGCTGAGGGGAAAGAAATGTTCACTAACCAAATGGTCTACAAAAACAAGAATAAACAAGCTGACACATAGAGAAAGGTTTAGTTTGTTAAACCAATGGCTAGACGGCAAAGGTGCTTTAGCTTTGGTTTCTCAGCGCGATTTTATCAGAGAAATGCTCAACTGCTAGTTCTAGATTGCGCCAAGTGGCTCTTCATATGTATTTAATCAACTCTATGGGATTTAATACACTACCGAAAGGGTGAAGCCTTGATTGAGAACGGTCAGTATATCCCTTTGCATGGGAATCCCTTCTGATAATTGAAAGGAATGTTTGTTCCATGCTCCCTTGCTGAGTGGGGATTTCCCTTCACACAGCAGAGTGCAGAGTACTCAGGAATCCAGATAAAACAAAAAGTACTGATGTTCTGGGCCTATCTACAATGAGAGAGTCCTGTTCTCCCTGCCCCAGGCAGCAGGGCATTATGGTGCTGTCCCCTTCTATGGCTAGAAACTCCAGGAGATGCAGTTAACTCCGTGTACTACACTAACAGAAGGTCTCCATGCTGGTGCAGTTCAGCAGCCCAGTCAGCTTTGATTACACATAGTTGAACTTCTCCCCCACACTTTATCTGTGAAAGTAATAGAGGGAATTTCTGTAAAATCGTAAGCACTTGGTTATTGTAGCTCTGCAGCATTGTACATTGTGAATGCAAATACAACATAATTCAGTAAATAAATACCTTTACACTTTGAAGAGCTGACACCCATTTTACATTTTTGCCCTATTGACTTCTTTTCCATTTAATCATGATCAGGAAGGTTCTTGCCAACATGATTAAATATGTTTGGGACCTAATCTCTCATCTAGTCTTCTGTGTGGGGGAATGGGCAAATGACTAACCTCACAGAATGACTAGCCTGCTGACCATCATGGTAAATATTTGTGCTAGTCAAGGGAGAAAGGTTAATGTTCTCACTCTACAGTTTGCTCACAAATAGATGGACATTAATTATTTTTCTCCTTCCCTTTTCTCCATGATTATTCTCTAGAGCAACTTCAGGAGCAAAAGGGCGAGTTGTCTGAATATCTCCCTAATCGGGATCTGATGATGCCACATGCTGCTAGAAAGTTATATTTTCACTTGGTGGTTGGGGGATTTCTTGTGCCATGGGATCCTTTGTGCAACACAGTGCATCACAGAGCTAAGAAATTGTCAGGATGCAAATCATTGTGGAGAGGAAATATTCCAGGACTCACTACAGAGCCCCCGAGAATAGCCAAAATCAACAGAGAATCAGGATTCCATCCTGCTCTAATTAGCCATCGTGGATACATGCTGAGGGCGACTAGCCATTCCTGTCCTCCCTGATGCCCATGCGACTTCAGCCATATGTCTAGCTTCAAGTATAGATGCAAAGTAAATCAATTAATAGTTAATCCATGAAAATTGTTCTGTGTTTGTTGTCCTTTGTTACAAAAGACAGAAGAGTTCTTGAGGGCTTGTTGAAATCCGTTCCAATCATGTGTACTAGTGACATAGGGAAATATGTTGAAAGTTTTTCCTCTAGTAGCTCCCATCAGGGTCAGGCATGGATCCCCCAGGCGTGCCACCATTTGCTGCTACTATATACCACTGCTACCGTGACCCCTCCCTCAGACGTGAATGTGTTTCTCACAGATTGGCTCTACCACAGACAGGCATTAGTTTGGCGAAGTTCTCTGGCCTGTGTGATAAATGATAAGAGTGGTTCTTTGAGGCCTCAAATTTGATGCTGTTCAATGTCTCACCTTATCCTCATAACTTTACTCAAATAAAACCAATCCTGTTGTTGGTATTTTCACTATTGGGTGCATTCATTCCTAGCCATTTTATTACAAGAAGTGAAGTTGCACTAATGAACAATTTGTTTCTTTTTCAGAGAACTTGAAGAAGATAATAAGTAAGTCTGTGTCCTTTTTCATGCTTGTGAATTACTAATATGTGGAACTCTTAGAGAATGGAAAAAATGATTGATTGATTCTTGAACCTCACTCTTCCTTCCCACTTTTGATGAAGCAGTTTCCTCAGATTGCTTTGTCAATAACATGTACACACATTAACCATATCTGAAACCTGATGCTCATTTAAGTCCCCGGTTATTAATTTATAATTCCAACTCAGATTTTCCTTCACGAAATCATAAATGAAAGGCAGGTCTTGGTAATACTGCTGTTTTCTTTCAAGGCACTATGAAAGTAGAGGAGTATGGAGAGTCATACTAGCTTCTTTACCAATTATGTTTGTACTTTTGTTTTATAGTCTAGCATTTTGAAGTGAACACCCCAAATTATCCTCTAGGCATTGTAATTCTTAAGCAAATGGATATCAAAGTAAAGACAATGTACAAATCAAAAGGATTGAACATTGTGACTGAATATAGAACACAATTCATTCAACATATAATAGCATGACTCTGTCCATTCCTGAAACCCAGATTAGGAAAGTCAGATTTCTGCCCTATTGGCTTCTATTTCATTTAATTGTGACTATGAAAGTTATTGCAGAAATTGTAAATTATATTTGGGAAATAATGTATCTCATAGTCTTCTGTGGAGAAAAATGGTCATGTGACCAATTCCTTAGAATGACTGGCTGGCAAAGGCTTTTTCCTGCTCATCATGAATATCTGTGTTAATCAAGGGCTAAATGTTCCTATTCTCACTCTACAGCTGGCTAATACATAGACGGCCATTAATTATTTTTCTCTTTCTCTTTTCTCCGTGATTCTTCCCCAGAGCAACTCAAAGAACAAAATGGTGAGTGTTCTGAATTACTCCCCAGTTGTGGGCTCTGATAGTCCCACATGCAGCTAGACTGTTACATGAAAACTTCTGTGGCTGAGGGGTCCCTTGTGATTTGGAATCCCTTGTGCGTCACAGAACTAAGACCTTGCTGGTTTTCTGGAAATCAGCATGGAGAGGAGATATTGCAGGACTGTGTTGGACAATCATTGAGGGAGCATGTCTGTTCTATCAGAAATCTCTGGTTGAGGAATGCATGAAGGCAGTGCTGCTTCAGTCCTGCCTAGGCTGCAATCCCTGACACTCGACAAATACCCCACAACTCTTCTTAGAGATGGCAGAAGAGTCCTTTCCACGCCATCTACAACCACACCAGAATACCCAGAGGAGATCCCTGATAACTTTTTTGTAGTCTCCTGAGTTTCAGTGGAACTCTGTGTGTTGGGTTCAGAACCCCTTTCAAATCTTGCCATGTCCCCTTGTCAGCTACTACTTCATGCTGACACTTCAGAAAATGGGTTGCAGTTGTTGGAACTGGGTATCCAAAATCTGATGACAAGCTCATCAGAAACTTTGGCCAACAATGTTTTTATATCCCCCACACATCCCCATCAGAGAGACTGTAATTGTATAGCTAGGCCATGTCTACACTAGAAGATAATTTACAATTTACTAATTTTGACTTCTGGGTTCTCAATTTTACAATTTCAAATTTCTTGTGTCCTCATACGGGGAAGAATTGAATGTAGCTCAAAGCAGGCTCTGTTAATGTGGATGTGCTACCTCATACTCAGAGCACCAGGACTCTCTCTGGGGAGCTGTGGGTGGTGTCCCATATGCCCATTAATTCTAATTAGGTGCTCCACAGCATCCACATTAATGTTGTTTCTGACTTACAAGTTCAGGAATACCCTTATTCCCCATGAAAAGCAGGACTGCAAATTTCAAATTCCATGGGCCCTTATTCCTAAATAAAAGTCTTGAGATATTGTGGATGCTTCACTAACAAAATTGACTGTGGGGAATCTTATGTTGGACTAAAGTTCTTGTGTAGACCAGGACTAAGTTTTTATGAACAGCTCCCTCTCTTCCTTGTGAATGATTGGGAACTCTAGCTCAGGTCATTCTATCACCCAATAAAAATGATTACTCGTACTTCAAGGAACCTCTCAGTTGGACGCTTCCTCAGTATCCTGTGGCCAAGGCAAGGGTGTGTGAATTCGAGGCAAGGGTGTGTGAATAGTGGAGTAGCTTAAATTCACTGCAGAGCCCTTGAGAACAGCAGGAAAAGACTCAGGATTCAGACCTGCTCTGATTAGCTCGGAACAGAAGTTTGAGGAGCAGGATTTCAGTCCAAAGTCTGTTTGTCTTAAGGACAAAAAGGAACATTGATCCTTTGTTAATCATTGAACATTGTTTTGTGTTTCTTGTCCTCATTTAGAAAGCAAAAAAGTGTTTCCTGAAGCAGGTAAAATTTCCAATCTACTTCAAGAAGCAAATGTTAAATCTCTGCCTAGGGGGCTTCATCTGCTTTTGGGGCAGGATGTGTCACTACCAGATCACTAAGACCTAACTGTGCTACCTCTTACCTGGCTCGGCTGGTCAAAAATTGTGAGGCATCATTGACACAGGTCATGTGTGCAGCTGTAGAAGCTAGCCACTTCAAGTGCAATCCCAGCTTGACCCTGGAGGTGCGTTTAGAAGTGTCTAGCCCAACCGACCTCCTTTCTGTCTGTGTCAATTCAGCCACCTCTGTAACTTCATCTATGGATGTAAGGTAAAACAAATGAAAATTGTTTTATGTTTCTTGTCCTCATTTACAAAAGAGAGAAGAATTCTTCTTTGAGGGCTTCTTCACATCTGTTCCTAGCCGTTATATGTGCATCATGTGCTCAAGTGTTGGAAGCTTTTTCCTCCAACAGCTCCTTGGCATGGTGCCACTCACTGCTGTGACATACCACTACTGCCCTGAGCTCTCCCTCTGTTCCTCTTACAATCTGTGGTGGCATTGGAAGAGTCTTCTTCTTTTCATTTAACAAGCCTCTCACTCCAGAGCAAAACTCTTTGATTTACTGCTTGTTAGTTCATCATTTTCAGCCGTAAAATGAACTGCAAAACTTAGCACTTAGGAATGGGCATGCTCACCCACTCATATTGCAGAAAGCCTAAGACTTTGTGTTTGGCATTAACTGCAAGATGTTTCTGCCAAATTGTGATTCTCATTACACCTGCCTGATGTGCTTATGTGAAGAGCAGCAGTCTGACTTCTCTGAGAGTTTC